GCTCCCTGCTCCACGGGAAGCCTGCTTCTCCCTCTCCCACTCCCCCTGCTTGTGTTCCCTCTCTCACTGTGTCTCTGTCTGTCAAATAAATAAAATCTTTAAAAAAAAAAAAAGAACTTGAATGGCAGAGATGGCCAACACAGAGGTTCCCCAGGCCAGCCAAGGAACTAGGGTAGTTGAGGTAGGCAGGATGGGATGGGGGCCAGCTGGAGAGTACATCTCATCTCCAAAGCAACGATCGCTTAGTTCTAGCTTTTTGTTGCCGTCATGGAATGTGGGCCTGATGGGCTCACATTGCTAGCTTTTTCAAATAAAGTTGGAAATCTAAACATGAGATTTCTCAAGTCTCCAGATTGTTGACAGCTAATTTAACTTTAAATTCATTAAACAATTATTTGAGATGAGCAAAGAATGTTTGAGAGCACTTATATAACCTCTGACCAAGAGCCCCAGGTGATGGGATGGAGGTTGGGCCCTAATCAGCAATCAATGGAAGAAGCTACACAGGAGGCAGGCTATCAATATGGCCAAGAATTCTGCTAAAGCCTCCATCAAGCACTTATTGAGCACTTACTAACTACCAAGCATTAGGATATAAAAATGACTCAGAACCTGTTTCCTCTAAGACTTTCTATTTGCTCAACTCAAGAAATGTTGTTGAGCCACGATCACCACGTACCTGAACACAGCTCCTCAAGACAAGGGGACAGGCACCTAGACAACTAGGTGTTGTTTCCTACTCATTAGATCTTTGTCCCAGAGTGCTGGAAGCAAACTGTTCTACCTCTGTGTCCTTCTATGCATTCTCCCATCCCCAGCCAACCTACCCAGTACCAGCTGGGGCAAAGCGGCCTACCGCTGCTGACCCTGGCAGAGGTTTCTCAGGCTAACAGACATGGGATGACTTGCCATTGCCTCTGTAAGCCTAACTCATCCCTGTAAAATGGGTACCTCCATGAGCTCACATGGTGATGACACAAAGTGTTCACATAACAGCAACACCTCAGAGCACGTGCCTGAGGCTGTGTGGAAAATATTTTAATTTAATCTGCACAGCAGGCACACAGAAGTCTCTTTCTGGCCTAACTTATACTGTGATCTTGGACTTGCTGAAGGACTAACTTCCATCACAGCCCTGCCAATATTGATTGTTCGGGCTCAAAAGTACCTAAGTAGATTGATTTTTTTTTCTCTCTCTCTCTCAAACTAAAAAGGATCCCAGTAGTGTTAGTATATTCCTGTTTCCACTGGTTGGTATGCATACTGAATAAATAATAGTGTTACCCGGAAAAATTTAGGTAAAAGAAACAGTGATGGAAAACAGGGTAGAAGAGGTCTTAAGTTGCATTCTTGATTCCACTACGAATCAGTCTGGTGTTCCAGTGAATGCCTAAGCTTGTCTATCAACAGCACTCCACCCCCACTCCAATCTATTATTTTTTTAAAAGAGAAAGAACACTTTGGTAACCTGCATCTTAGGTAGGGAACAAAACAAAAGGAAAAACAAAACACACACGCAAATACAAAAACAAAAAGCAAAATCAACATGGGGGGAGCAAGTGTCTTCTTGTGGTGGAGGTTAATAGGCAATAATACTCCTCTCCTGTCACTTCCTTCTGTAAGTCAGCAAGAAGGAAATACATCCACCAGGGGCCTCTGCTCATTTGTTCTTCATTTAAGGACAATTAGACAATTCCTACATCCCCTATCCCCAAGGAAAACAACGCGAGCAAATGCTTTCTCTAACTACCGCATGACCTGGTAACTCTCGAAATAACGGAGGTTATGAAATCTACTTTGTGCTAACTTCCAGGGACATGCAATAAAATAGAGCGCAGGGCTTGGAAGTAAGCCAGAACTAAGTCTTCGTTCTCTTTTATACTGTTTCCTTTCTGTGAACTTTTTTTCCAACCGTGAAGTTTCACAGCATTCATTCTCGAAATAAACTGAAAAGCTTCTCGAGCTGTCCAAGTAAAAAATTCTTTTCTGTGACCTTTGGCAAGAAATACATTCTAGGAAAGAAAAGGAAGAAGCAAACGTCTGTTTACTACCTAATGACTATTCCTTTCTCTCCAGGTCTCTGGGCAAGAAGAGGCGAAGGGGAAACGCCAACACCAAAGCTCTTATTCCCTCTCTCATCTCTACACTGGCAGGTGGCGTATGCCTTCCAATTTCTCTTTAAAGCCGTCAGCTCGGAAAAATACGAAGTGAGCAAGCAGCGAAGACCCCCACATCAAGCCCTTGCTCTAAGAAGGCAAGCGGGATTCCCAGTGGCCGACAGAGACACCAGCGTTCAGAGTGTCACCAACCCTCGGGTTGATTACTTACCAGCTGGATTTAAACCCGCTCCGACGCGGTGGCGTGGCTTGGGCGGAGCCCCGTGGCCCGGGTGGGCGGGGCGGGGGTGGGGATCCCGGAGGCTCTGCGCCGTGTGGGAAAGACCTGGGCTCCGGGAGCAAGCGTCTGTCTCTTTAAATGCTAGGGGCTGCGCTCCCGCCCGGGGGAGCCCGGAGCCGGATCTACAATCCCGTCCCTCCCGCTCCGGCGCTTGTTGCTCGCCGGGTCCGAGCGGGAGCTGCCGCCGCCGGGCACCAAGGCTGCTTCCTTCTCCGCCTTCTCGCGCCCCACCTCCCCCGAGAGCAGGTTGAGGGGTAGCCGCAGCCCCAGCAGGAGGGAGGGGTGCGGTGTAAACAGGCATTGCTCCCCACCTTCAAGTCTTGGGGCGCTACGTAGCCGCGGGGGCAAGACATGCGTCGCTCCCCCCTGCCCAGCCTCGCTGCCACCGGCGCCTGGAGAGGAGCGATTGCGGATCCCACACCTGCAAACTCACCTTAGAAGTCTCAAGGTGCGGCTGGGGCAGAGGGGCCAATTCCCCAAGGCCTCCACCTCTCTGCGGGTAAGTTTTCGCAGGTAACCCGAACGTAAGGGCGGGTGAGCGCGCGGGGGAGGGGCGGGCGAGACGTGGGGAGAAAGCGCCGCAGGTGAGCCACGTAGGGTGGCTCACCTGCGCGGGCCGAGCTGCGGGATCCTCGCCGGTTTCCCCGAGGTTGTAGGCTTGGGAGCCGTCTCAGGGGCTAAGTTAGGGCCCTGGGGTAAAGGGAGGGTTAAGAAAAGGGGGGTTGGAGTAAAGTTTCTCTTCTTTACCTCCTGCCTGCGCTTGGCAGGTAGGGCGCCGGCGGAAGCGGTTAGAGCTGCTGATGCAATGGGCGTTTGCCCGGGCGAGGTGAAGTGCTGGGGGCGGGGTAGAGCTAGAGTTGCCCGGCCTCCTGCGACCGTGACCCTGGAGGTGGAGATCGGAGCTTCCCCGTAAAATGGCTCCAGGTGCTCGGCCCCCAGGCCTTCTTCCTCCTCTTAAGAAATCGTCCTTTTCATGGAGGGGTTCCTACATGGCTTTCTTGCTTTCCGCTCCCAACAGGTGGTCTCCGCCCCTGTCCGGGGACCCGTGCCAATGACCCTAGTGGTGGTTTCGCTTTCTCCCCTCTCGGCTGTGTGAACGTGTATCCGCAGCGTGATGGGTAACCAGGTGGAGAAACTGACCCACCTAAGTTATAAGGAAGTTCCCACGGCCGACCCGACCGGCGTGGACCGGGACGACGGGCCCCGCATCGGGGTCTCCTACATCTTCTCCAACGACGACGAGGACGTGGAGCCGCAGCCGCCGCCCCAGGGGCCGGATGGTGGCGGCGGCGACGGCTTGCCCGACGGCGGGGACGGGCCGCCGCTGCCACCGCCGCAGCCCTACGACCCGAGGCTGCACGAGGTGGAGTGTTCGGTGTTCTACCGCGACGAGTGCATCTACCAGAAGAGCTTCGCGCCGGGCTCCGCGGCGCTGAGCACCTACACGCCCGAGAACCTGCTCAACAAGTGCAGGCCTGGCGACCTGGTGGAGTTTGTGTCGCAGGCGCAGTACCCGCACTGGGCTGTATACGTGGGCAACTTCCAGGTGGTGCACTTGCACCGGCTGGAGGTGAGCAACAGCTTCCTGACGGACGCGAGCCAGGGCCGGCGCGGCCGCGTGGTGAACGACCTGTACCGCTACAAGCCGCTGAGCCCGGGCGCGGTGGTGCGCAACGCGCTGGCACACGTGGGCGCCAAGGAGCGCGAGCTGAGCTGGCGCAACTCGGAGAGCTTCGCCGCCTGGTGCCGCTACGGCAAGCGCGAGTTCAAGATTGGCGGCGAGCTGCGCATCGGCAAACAGCCCTACCGGCTGCAGATCCAGCTCTCGGCGCAGCGCAGCCACACGCTCGAGTTCCAGAGCCTGGAGGACCTGATCATGGAGAAGCGGCGCAACGACCAGATCGGGCGCGCGGCGGTGCTGCAGGAGCTCGCCACGCACCTGCATCCCGCCGAGCCGGACGAGGGCGACAGCGACTCGGCGCGGACTACGCCGCCTCCCGGGCGCGCCCCTGCGCCGGCCCGGGAGGACGAGGCCCGCCAGGCGGTGGTGCACTGAGGGGCCCGCTGAGTGCGGAGTCTTGAGAGGGAGCCTTCCGCAGCGGCCGCCGCCGCCCCCTCCCTCCTCTCACTCCCTCCTCCAGCACCTTCCGGGCCCCATCTGCGCTCCAGGGCCCTTTGGAAAAAAGGAGCGTTGGCGAAATAGCGCAGCCGGCTGTGGCTTGAGCTTGTTATCTTGGACGGAGGAGGAAGGGGGAGCAGGTAGGAGCACTTTGGCCGGGGGGCACTTCCTGCCCTCCCGTTGGATCAGTCTTCCTTTCCGAGGTGGGCCAAATGGTGGACTTGCTTGATACTTAATCCTTGCTGGACCCGGGTCCAAAATCGACCCTTCTTACGCACTCGGGGGTGGAGGCAAGTTCGGAGTACCAGTGCCTGCTATTGCGTCCTTCCTGCTTCCCCTCCTCCCCTGGGCTTGGGGGGTGCCCTGTACTGAGGCCTGAGAGGGTTTGTGGGGGCGCCCTGCCAGCACGGAGAGCTGCAGATTTGCTACCCCCGCCCCTGAGGGGGGAGTGTGGGATATGGGAAGCCGAGTGATTTACTTTGGGGGATTCCTGCGGTTTAAGGCTGGAGAGACCAGGCCCAGGTCTGGGAGCAGCAGACCACCACCAAGCAGCTCCCCCGTGAAGTGTAATAAATAGTTGGGTAAACTTGGGCTGCACAACAAAGACTTTGCTACCGCCCCCTGCCCACCCCCACCGCCAAGTAATTCATCTTCTGGAGCTGACTTCCAGGAGAGTCCCCTGCTCCAGCCACCACTTCCCAGGTTCCCAGTAAATCATCGTCACAGGCCAGCTAGGAGAGGGATTCAATTATGATTCTGTCTTGCCGCCTTTGTTTCTAGCCTGCTTTTGTAGGCACTTGGAGCCGCGTTCTTACCAAAGGAAGGAAGCCCTCTGTGTCTCTGATCTAATTAAAACTGCTTGGCTGTGTTCATCTGCAGGTCACATAGGGGGTTCGCTGGTGCCACCCCATGAAGTATCCACTACAGAAGCAGTCAAATGGGGTTGCCCTCGCAGAAATTAGTTAATTTCCCACTCATCACCTAACCCCCTTCCTGGACAGTGAAGGTAACCTTTTGTAAACTGTAAGGCTTTGGTGGTGGACCTGTGATTTTTTTTTTTTTTTTGCCTCCTCACTGCCCCATCCCCCTCACTCACTTTTGTTCTGCCGGTGATAAAATCTTAGGCTTGAGGTCTATTCAGTGATAAGGTGTTTTGCTAGCCACACCTGATGCAATTTAATCAAGAGGCAAAGTCTTGTTATATCGCAGCCTTCTCTTTGTTCCTTGGAGAACTCTCCCTCCCCCCTTTCAGTGCGATTTCGCAATTAAGAGGGGTGACAGCCATCACAAATTAAATGCCACCTGGTGTAGTCAGCACCGAATCTGGTGACAGTCCTAGGGCACAGGTTGGTGGTTGTGAGATGTGTTGGCAGCAGGCTGGCCTGTACTCTTGGGTTCTGCTGCTGATCCTGTTTGCTGTACTGTGGGGCTTCTAGAAATTTTAACAGCCCATCTCCTGTATTCACGTGAGCACTTGGATGATGTGTGCCCTCGATTTCACAGTGCTGTTTTGCTGCAGATTGGTACTGCTAATGCCGTCCCAAAGTCGCATGAAGTTTTCCTTTCTCTTGGGTGTCATTTTAGATGACACCGAACAAGTCCTTTTCTGAACAAATTCTTAGAGTTGGAATGGAATCCTATTTGAGCGTCGTATAAAACCCAATCCTTGGGTTTTCTCCCTGGGGGTTTCTAACTCATGCAACAAGACTTGAAGGATTTCCTTGTATACTTTTTTCAAACTTGGAAGTTGATGCCATAATTTTTCAAAGCCTAGACTGTTGTAGCACCTCAATGTGAATTTAATTTTAGGGGCATTTGCTGTGTTCCCTGTTCTCACAAGCATCACCAAGCAGGTCCTATCCCTTTGCTACAGAGGAACCACACTCAGCCATAGTCTGGGACTTTGGAGAGATGTCAGTCACCTGTGGGAAATGTAGATCTAGTTTTCATGTGTAATAATCTCTCAGCTTTGTGTTTATATTCTCTTGTTCATGGAAAAGCCAAGCAAGGTAAAAGATATTTAGGAGAGCCTCACACATCTAACAGATACGGGGTTTTTTTGTTTTTATGCTTAACACGGTAGTTGAAAGACTAGTGTGCAGACAGCAAGAGGGGAGAACAGAACAGAACAGCACTGTCTAGCAGCTCTGGGCTGGCTAACCAGCTAGCTTTTCCACTCGCCTATCTCTGTGGGCCTCCTTTGCCCTCAGTTAGAAAGTGAATGTCATTGGTCCCACAGAGGTAGGTACACCAGTGACTGTTGTTACAAAGGAACTGCTTTTTGTGGGAAGTCTCCACCTGAAGGAAGAACTCTTAGAAAATCCACATCTATAGTAGTAGTCTGCCTCTAGACAAGAGGTTTTTTGAAAATGAACTAGAAGAGAAAATCCATCCACTCCAGAGACTGTTTTCCCATGTCATGCGAGCATTTTTACTGGCTACCAGAGGTGTGAAGTACGTAATACGAAGAATGATTCCATTGGAAGTTTTCTTAGGGCTCTCTGAGGCTCTAAAGCACCAACCAACCAATGGAGGCTCCAAGAAAGGGGAATCTGTCCACGCAGGCCTTTCCTCAAGGTGGCAGTGTTGCGGATAAGTGAGTTCACAATGTCCAGGCTATGGCTACATCTGGCACTTTAAAAATATATATATATTTAATAATTTTTGTTTCTCCTTGGGAATAAGACTTTAGAACTATTTTGTACTGTGAATTATGTATGTTCTTTGAAAGAAATACTGATTCTAACGTTCTTCAGAAGCTGTGGCAGGGATAAGCAGGACCCCGGACTGGATCACATACTAAAAGCAATGAAAACAAATTCTATTTTCTTATTTGAGCAAATATTTTATTGAGACTGCTTATGTATGTCAGAGGAGCCCCCAACATCAGCTACACAACTTTTTGTATCAAAAGAACTCGTGGTTTTTGTAGCTTTTATTCCACATGTAATTTAAAATGACTTTATAGCACTAAAATGCCTATAGCAGAAGACTTGACAAACCAGACCTTTAAGGAAATTTTTAGTTTTTATGAAAAATTACACTTCAGTGGTTCAACTTCTCGTGTCTTCCGTGCTTCTGGCCCTAAGAGCACCACTAGACAACACAACAACCACATGGAAACATATTTTTGGAAGCAAAACTTTAATTTTATACGACATACGCTATGGAGAGTGAAGGAAAATTAATGACTACTTGTTTTCTATTTTTTTTCTTAACAAAATGGAATCCACTGTGTTGAAGACTCTTGATATCATGTGATTGTCTAACCATTTTTTTTAAAAAATACATTAGAATAAAATCTACGATCATGGTCAACAAATGGTTTTGTTTGGAAAGTTACATTTTATTTGTGAAAAAAAAAATTTTTTTTTAAATCATGGTAACTACAAACTTGACTGGTTTATTCAAATTTTCACTATGTTTTGTTAGCTATAATTCTTGTGACCCCTGGAGAATTACATTAACACAGTAAATTCTGTGTATATTTTATTTCCTAGTGAATTGTGTAAACTGTATTTTTGTTGAAGAATGTATGTTAAATCAATGTTATGTTCTCATACTACTTCTTGAGAAGGAGGTTCCGATTTGAAATTGTATCATTTCCTTCAAAATGAAGGGCAGTGTTTAGTTAAATAAAAGATTGATGACATCTTTTGAACCACTTCCTCTCCACTCTCTTATTAAAATAAAATCTGTCAAGTCCTTTTGGAAAACGCTGTAAGGGTGTCCAATAAACCATCTATCTATTAGTGTTAATTGAATTTATATTTTTTCCACTTGTATACCTCTTTCTGCCGTATGTGGTTTAAAAAATCAAGCTGCAGTTTTTCTGAGAATATTGGTGTGTCTCATCTTTACATTGCTCAGTAAACATTTTGATGAATTCATTTAGTGACAAAGCCCTCCCTGCATTTGCTCTGCGAGAATTAATCACCCATTGTTCCTAGGCGCTCAGTGTTCCTGAAAAATGTCTCATAAACATAAATTTTCAGTGCACATTGATTTTCAGAATCAATGCAAACATTGCTGATCACCACACTCCCATATTGGAATCTACACTGGGGCGTTTTGGTATTAAAATCAGTTGCATCTTGGGTGATTGCAGTTTCAGACAAAGGGAGTGCACTCACTGGGTAATTGAATTATAGAAAACGGACAAATGTGACCACTTGGCACTGTTGGCATAATAAGGGATGCAGATGCCAGCAGTCAGTAGAAGAGCAGGTGTGGCATCTGGCACTGGTGTGTGGGAGGCCCCCAGCACTCCTTTGGCTAGCACCTGAAGCCACTGCGCCAGTCCTGTGCGTGAGGTTCAAAAGCCTGGGCGTTGTCAACGGGCTCTTAGGGATACGAAGAACCGGGAATGCCGAAGGTGATAGGGAGCTCAGCAGCAGGGAGGCCATTTATCCCTAGAGTGGGAGTCCTTAATTTATCATGGTTCTCCTTGCACACGAAAGTGAAGGGAGGGGAGCCTTCTACAGAATGTGCCTTTATTCTTGGTTGATCTTGGTGTAGGCTGCTCTTCCAATTTCTGCTATGTGGACCGAGCTTGCTTAATGTAGGAAAATGACATGTTTGGAAGCATTTAAAAAGACCTCCAAAATGAACAGACCCGGAATACGTGCAGAAAGGCTTTTATTTCCTTTTACTGAATTAACTGGGGGAACTGCTTATTGAACAAATACAGCCATTTTATCTGCAGAGTAGATGCAAGAACGATTGGTGTGCATTTGCAATCACAACAAGATACTAGTAGGTATTAATGAAAGGGCCAGAGGATGCTGGACTCCAGCCTAGGTACTGGAACATAGAGATTACCAGCAATCTCCCTGCCCCAGAGTTTATTTCTCAGGGGAAATCAATTTTACTCCTATGTATAGGACAGATTATAATAAAGGTGGCCCTGTAAAGTGCTGATGGTTGGTAGGTCTTCAAATAAAGCAGATGGGTGTAGGTTTAATTGGAGTACTCCCATTAGAGAATTCAGACCAAAATTCTGAAGGTACAGATGGTGGCAAAAAGGATGTTAACTAATATAACTAATATTCACGAAGTACTTAACTGGGAGGCTCCTAAATTCTCAGTGCCTAACATACAAAGATAAACTAGATCTTTTCTGTCTTCAGTTTTAGTTTCTGTCTTCAGTGTCACTTCATCTCAAGGTGCTGTCATCTCTATGGTTTGAAGAGGGTGAGGCAGCAGTGGTTTTAGGATGGATAGAACAGGGGGAGCAAGTGAGTGACCCTGTCCTTCCCTCTCCCAGAACTCCATTGCCAGCCAGGTTATGAAGTAGAGTGTGAATTCAGGCCTTTGCCTGATACGATTGAGGCAAGTGGCACAGATCAGGCTGGATGGAAGCAGAGGGAAAACAGCCCAAGTGACGGCCTTCATGCCGTGGTCTTGGAGTCATGATTACAGAAGACGTTATTTCGTTCACTTGGCCAATACAGGCCACTGCTAGAATACAGACCTCGGTACCTTGTCAGGGGTGGCCATCAGTGACTCAAAAGATGAGCTTTGCTGCATTTTTGGGGGGAAACTTGTACAACAATGTACTTAACTTCCAAGGTTTGATGACCTTGATAGTGCATTCATTTTAACCTCGTAACTGAGGATTCTCAGTGGTTAGGCTAAACTAACTAACCACTAGGTACAGGGTCTGAGCCAGGCACAAAGAACTGAGGAGTGGGTAAGTCTTGACAGTCAGACTCCCTGAGCTTCTCTACTCTGGGCTCCGTACTCTTAAGCTGGTAACCTTGGGAAAAGTTAAATACTTGCTTGGAAGTTTTATTTTATCTTCTGTACAATGTGACTTACGGACATAGGTCAAATTCACTCAACTCTCTGAATTTCAGTTGTACTTGAAAAATAGTATGTATATAATATTATAATCAGACTAAAATAATATCTACTTCAAATGGTTGTGAGCACAAAATGAAACAATGTACATAAAGCCCAGATCAATAGCTATTATGATTGACTAGAGAAAATCTAGGATATTATAGGTATTCAAAAACCTTATTCAAAATGAAGTTTCAGTCTGGGACAGAGAGGTCTTCCCTTTAGTTAACGGAGTATTTCTTAGCTACAAGAAACTGGTAAGATAAAGAGGTAACTCTAGTTAAAACTTCAGTCGTTTAGCCACTGCTAGAGGGTTTGAAATGTCTCTTGGGCTTTGATCTTTAGTAGATGAACCGTTTAACTTGTTTATAATATTTTATTCAACAAATATTGCCTAAGAACTTTTAAGGTACTAGGTGCTGGAGAGCCGAGGGGGGATTAGAAGTGCTAGATAATATTAACACTGATAAGGTCGCCTTGCCCGCGCCCCCCACCCCGTCCAGTGTTAATTATCACAGTGGCCTTTCTGGACAGCTGCTGATAGCTTCATTTTAGAGTTGAGGACATAGGTTTAGAGAAATGAAACCATTTGTCCCTGGTCGCATAGCTAATAAGCCACAGCTTCTGGCCTGGACTAGGAATGCTGGTCTCCAAAGCCCCAGGCTAGGATCCCTCCACTGAAAGATCATCTGGCCCCTCCTACCCTTTGGCTGCCCTTCCCTTCTCCGTACCCAGGGAGAATACAGAGAACCTTATTCTGCTCCAGCTTTTGCCATGCAGCATTATCTGAGAGGCAGGTAGATTTTCACTCTTGTTGCAGCAACTCCAAAGGCAGTGACCCTCAAGGCAAGAAGAGGCAGAAAGAGGGGAAGCAACTCTCTGAGTAACAATAACAAGCCCTGGGTGAATGTTGACCATTTCCTAATTACCTCCACCCTTCCGTGGCTGAGCATTGTGATAATCCGTACTCCAACTGACCCTCTTCTGTCTGTGCTTTTGTGACTCCCTTTCCCCTTTCAGGCTGAGTTCAGGTCACACGGTCCTACTTCAGATCTCACTCCAGCCCCTGACTTGCTGTGTGACGTTGGGCAAGTTAGTAACTTCTTTAAGCCTCCTTGACTTACATAAAAATTGGGGCTATTAGGACTGTCTAATCCATAGGGCTGTTCGTTGGCTTCCATGAGATAATGTAAACCAAGCGCATCGTGGAGCACTTAGGTGTGCCGTGAGCGCCATATTGGCCCCGCCGCACATGGCGTGACTACAAATATGATACATGACCTTGAGCAAGTCCCTTTACCAACTAGGAGCCTGGATCTACATTTCTGTGTGGAGTACCCGACTCTAGCGGGAGTCCCTGACAAGATTCCAAGCGCAACTTTATCCTTTGAGATGGTTCTAGAAGTTGCTAGTTGCTATACTTAATTATAACCAATTAATACTAATTAGTACTTCTTCCTTGCCCGTAGCCCTAAACCTCATTCAGGTAAACAATTAATATGTAGAAAAATTAACATGTAAACGCAAAAAAGTAATAGTAAGATGACTGACTTTCAGGGAGTGCTTTTATTATGAAAAGTAAGGATTTTACACACAAAATTTTTTTTGAACCGACAAATTTTGTCATAATCTTTAATATTAGAAACCAAATCTGGGCCATGGATGAGGAAAAAGGTGATGATAAGAGTAAATTAATCTGTATCTCCTTTGGAAATGGTATTTTCTCTGGAAAAAGTATTTCGTTGTTTTTTGCTGTTGTTCTGTTTTTGTTTAATTTTGCTTTTTGAACACTGATATTCTTTCTTTCTTTTTCTTTTTTTTTTTTTTTTGCGTACTAGGGTACATTTGTCTTTGCTACCTGACTATACTGTTGGCCAATACATCAAAGCCCATGGAGAGAATTCTCTTGTATCTCAATGGATATGCATGATTTATCCTACCTTATTCTAATGGGGTCTATTTCTTTTTATATATTTCAGCAAGAGCAAGGTTGTTCATAGAGCCATAAAGCATCAAACGGTGGCAGTTCTTTGTGCTGACATCTATTTTAGTACTTTAAAAAAAAGAGTAATAGACTTTATTTTTTAGAGCAGTTTTAGGTTCACAGCAAAATCGAGTGGAAAGCAGAGTTCCCACATACCCCCTCTCCCAACCCCACAGCCTCCCCCAGGGTCAGCGTGCATTGTCACGGTGGCACGTGGTTACACTGGATGAACCAACCCTGACACATCATTGTCAACCATAGCTACATTAGGTTTCACTCTTTGTGTTGTGCCTTCTATCCTTCTGAAAAATGTATCCACCATTACAGTGTCACAGAAGAGTTGTACACAAGACACATCTCCTTCATTTCTTTCACTCCCAAGCGAGGAATTGGACTACTTTCAGCTGCTCTTACCAAAACTTAAAAGGCACTTCTCTGCACAGGGCCCTTCTGTTTTCTTTGCCGTTCTGAATGATGTGTCTGGCTAGAATTGCAATTCATTCATTCTTTAAGTTTGTATTGACGCCCTTCAGGGCTTCCCCCTGGGGCTAGAAAGAGGAATACCGTGTGGCCCCTGTGCTGCAGGGGCCCACCCACATTCTGCTGAGCAAGACAGACAGGCACACGGTAAGTGCAAGACCTGTGATGAAGTTGTGTTGATGGAGAACTTTGTAGCACCGTGAGGGCTGGACGTGTGGACGTGTTGGCAGCTAACCCCCCACGGTGGGGATGGGGAAGGGTCCAGAATAGCCTTCCCAGGCAAAGTTAAGCAGATAGGAGGAGGTCTGATCAGAGGAAGACTCTAACATAATCCTGCTTCCAACTCATCAACCCTTTATTTTGGAAGCAAAACACACATCTGTCTCTGGATGTGGCTGGCGGGGGGAGGGGGGACGTGAGAACAACTACTATAAATTGCTTAGTAATTCCT